CGGCACACCCCTCACACGTTCGTGGCCCCATAGGGAGCTCCACCGAAGGCCCCAGTGCCCGCGCCCGCATGCGTCACCCACACCCAATTCGGCACACCCCTCACACGTTTCGTGGCCCCATAGGGAGCTCCGCCGAAGGCCCCAACGGCCGCATAGGGAGCGCCGAAGGCCCCAGTGCATGCGTCACACCCATTTCGGCACACCCCTCACACGTTCGTGGCTCCATAGGGAGCTCCACCGAAGGCCCCAGTGCCCGCGCCGCATGCGTCACCCACACCCATTTCGGCACACCCCTCAACACGTTTCGTGGCCCCATAGGGAGCTCCACCGAAGGCCCCAGTGCCCGCGCCCGCATGCGTCACCCACACCCATTTCGGCACACCCCTCACACGTTTCGTGGCCCCATAGGGAGCTCCACCGAAGGCCCCAGTGGCGGCGCTCACATGCGCATGCGTCCCGCACACCCATTCGGCACATCCCTGACAGGTTTCGTGGCCCCATCATCCACCGGAGGCCCCAGTGGCGGCGCTCACATGCGTCACCCACACCCACCCAATTCGGCACACCCCTCACACGTTTCGTGGCCCCATAGGGAGCTCCACCGAAGGCCCCAGCGGCCGCGCTCACATGCGTCCCCGCCACCCATCCCGGCACGCCCCTCACAACAACAGGTTTCGTGGCACCATGGGGAGCTCCACCGAAGGCCCCAGTGCTGCCGCCCGCATGCGTCACCACCCGCACCCAATTCGGCACACCCCTCACACGTTTCGTAATCCTATGGGGAGTTCCATTGAAGATGAAACCCGCAGCTGCGGCACTGACAACTGCATATGGTTGGGTTCTTCGCCAGGTTAATTCCCAACCATCCTGTGGTGTTGGGTCCTCGTTTTGAAGAGACGGTGCCCCGCGTCTCCTTCCTCCTCCTCTCCTCCTCCGCCTCCTCTCCCCTCCTATCATCCTCATCTCCTTTCCTCATCTCCTCCCCTCCTCTCCTCCTCTTCACCCACCCAGTACACCGTTTCGTGGCTCCATAGGGAGCTCCACCGAAGGCCCCAGTGCCCGCGCCCGCATGCGTCACCCACACCCATTTCGGCACACCCCTAACACGTTTCGTGGCTCCATAGGGAGCTCCGCCGAAGGCCCCAGTGCCCGCGCCCGCATGCGTCACCCACACCCATTTCGGCACACCCCTCACACGTTTCGTGGCTCCATAGGGAGGAGCTCCACCGAAGGCCCCAGTGCCCGCGCCCGCATGCGTCACCCACACACATTTCGGCACACCCTCACACGTTTCGTGGCTCCATAGGGAGCTCCACCGAAGGCCCCAGTGCCCGCGCCCGCATGCGTCACCCACACCCATTTCGGCACACCCCTCACACGTTTCGTGGCTCCATAGGGAGCTCCACCGAAGGCCCCAGTGCCCGCGCCCGCATGCGTCACCCACACCCATTTCGGCACACCCCTCACACGTTTCGTGGCTCCATAGGGAGCTCCACCGAAGGCCCCAGTGCCCGCGCCCGCATGCGTCACCCACACCCATTTCGGCACACCCCTCACACGTTTCGTGGCTCCATAGGGAGCTCCACCGAAGGCCCCAGTGCCCGCGCCCGCATGCGTCACCCACACCCATTTCGGCACACCCCTCACACGTTTCGTGGCTCCATAGGGAGCTCCACCGAAGGCCCCAGTGCCCGCGCCCGCATGCGTCACCCACACCCGGCACACCCCTCACACGTTTCGTGGCTCCATAGGGAGCTCCACCGAAGGCCCCAGTGCCCGCGCCGCATGCGTCACCCACCCATTTCGGCACACCCCTCACACGTTTCGTGGCCCCATAGGGAGCTCCACCGAAGGCCCCAGTGCCCGCGCCCGCATGCGTCAGGCACACCCCTCACACGTTTCGTGGCCCCATAGGGAGCTCCACCGAAGGCCCCAGTGGCGGCGCTCACATGCGCAGGCGTCCCGCACACGCATCATGTTTCGGGGACCCATAGGGAGCTCCACTGGAGGCCCCAGTGGCGGCCCGCACATGCGTTTCCGCCACCCATGTCGGCACGCCCCGCGCGTGTTTCATGTCCCCATAGGGAGCTTCGCCGAATGCCCCAGTGGCACCCATCTCGGCACACCCCTCACACGTTCCGTAATCCTATGGGGAGTTCCATTGAAGATGAAACCCGCAGCTGCGGTACTGACAACTGCATATGGTTGGGTTCTTCGCCAGGCTAATTTGCGTTGAGCGGCTCTAGGTGCAAGCCCCTGGCGCTCGTGCGCGGCAGCCAATGTTATAACACAACACATGACTGCAGACTAAGCGTAGCAGGATTTGCGAGGAGACACTGAAAATTGGGGAAGCCCGAGGGGGTATAAAGTCAGAGTGAGAGAGCCGAGCGGTCCTTCACTGTCCCTGGGCGCGTGGCTGCAGTCAGATTCTGCAATGCGGATTGTTGTTGTTGTCATCATTGATGTTGTTGTTGCTGCTGCTGTTGTTGTTATGGTTGTTGCTGTCGTCGTCCCCCCCGCGACCCGGCCCACGACCCGCCTGCGACCCACCCCGCGATCCACCCCGCGACCGGGCCCGCGACCCAACCGCGACCCACCCCGCGACCCACCCGCGACCCACCCGCGACCCACCCCGCGACCCGCCCCGCGACCCAGCCCACGACCCACCCGCGACCCACCCCGCGACCCACCCGCGACCTGGCCCGCGACCCATCCGCGACCCACCCGTGACACACCCGCGACCCACCCGTGACCCACCTCGCGACCCACCTATATTGCTTGCCTGCGGCGGGCTCACAGCTTCATCTATGCAAATTAAGCGGCTGCGGCCAGAGCCACGCAGAGTACCGACGTCCTCGCCGCGCCCTCACTGCAGGGTGCTACGTATTAGATCTGCAGGCGTCAGCAAGGTATTCCCCTCCAACCTCTCACCAACATCAGTACCACATACCCCCGATCCCTCCCATGCCATGGGGCCCTCATCGAGGGTAGTTCGTGCCCACCCTGAGAGCAGCTGATAAGCAATCAAAATGGTGACACTCATCTTACTGAATATGTTTCTGGCCTGACGCCCTTAAAGCGCGATTGAAATGCAGAGGTATAATTGCGCTGGCTGCTCGCTGATAGGTTCCACCAACAATGACTGATGTGAAGGACGTGGCGGTCAACGCGATCGCAACCGTCGACACGATCGGTATGTTGGTGTCCACCCGGAAACAATCCATACCTCCACATCCTTCTACAAGTTTGAAGATATCGCGCTCACAATGAAGAAATCATAATACTACTACTGGCGGCCCATCATAAACGTAATGATATCCGTAGCTTGTCGCACTAGTGTGCCACGTGCGAGTGCTGCCCCTCACCCCCACATCCTCCTCTACCATTTCTTCTCCGTGTACAGGGGGACGGTCACATAGCACATGCAAGGAAACAACAACATGTGGCGCGTGCTATCTGCTTGGCCCGCGTGCATGGGCGAACCACAAACCGTTCGGTGTGCGGTATGTCTGCCCCCCTTCCTACGCGTCTTGGAATGTGTGCCCCCCGTCGGGGCGTGTGCTATCTGCCTGGCGCGCCCGTTGGATGGGGGTCGTCTTGGAGCCCTCTTGGGCCATCTTTGTGGCCTCTTGGGCAATCATGAGGGCCATTTTGTCTTCCGCCCGGACGTAGGCAGCTTGGGACATCCTGGGGGCGTTTTGGCGGCCCCAGGGGCCTCTTGAAGCGTACTGTGCGTCCCGGGGGGACCCCTGAGGCCTTAGTGAGCTCAGTGAGTGACGCCCTGAAAGACCCTCTTGGATTCTAGCCCGCGTTCGGATGCCGCCCCCCTCTCCCTCTTACGGACGTGTTTCTGTCTCGTGGGTATCTTTGTTTGGAGTCGAGGAGGAGGAGGGGGAGGATCACGAGGAGCACGAGAGCAGCAGGAGGAGGACGAGGACCTCGAGGGGGGATAGCATCTTTATGAACCAAAAAAATTGGGCGTATCCTGCCCCGCATCGAGGGAGGAGGGGCAGCAACACGAGGAGCAGCAGGATAAGGAGAAGGAGGAGGAGGAGTAGCGATGAGAAGGAGCAGCAGGAGGAGACGGAGGAGCAAGGGCGTCCAAACGTCGGGGCAGTGTGCTATCTGCCTGGTGCGCCCCCTCCCCCTTCGGGGCATCGCGAAATCGTTCGGATGCTCAGAGATGGCCGACTCGCTCGAGATATCCTCAACACATGATTTCGGAAGGGGGCCCTGGCAGTTTCAGGTACATATAAAAAGAAAGTCGCCGGCCAAACGGGCCTAGCGTGCTAAGATTTCCGGCAACTGGTTAACAATAGTTCTAGTTCGCGCGCGCGTGGCCGCCTGGAGGCCAACCTGGAGCACGATGGCGAGAAGGCCAACCTGGAGCACGATGGCGAGAAGGTGTACGCCAAGTTGGACTTCCCTGTCAGCGTGCGTGTGCTCCGGAGCGTAATGTGCACCAGCAAAGACGTTCTTATTGACGGAGGCTGGGACAGGACAGCTTTGTGGTCCGATACCGATACCTATAAATTGTGGTGTGGGGCCGACGTGGTTCTCACGGCTTCGATTTCTGAGGGCAGTCTTGCAGTGTGTTTCGAAGATGGGTGGCGCGAGTGCTTCCAGGGCGTGCCAACATGGGATGCCCTTGTCGCTGCCTCCAACAAGAAGCTCAATGACAGCAAGACTCCCACGAAAGGCCTTAGCAAGGGTAAGACCAAAGGCAAATCGACGGGCCACTCCTCGAGCGCCTCTGCAGGCGCCAGCCATTAGGGACAACTCTAGCCAGCCACATGTTTCACCTTAGACTCCGGCAAACCTTCTCTGGTCAGATTGGCAAACAACGCCCGTACTGGATCCGATGAAAGATTGCAAGAGGTAGTTGCAGAATTAGACACTATGAATTGGGATACTGTTCTCTTCTCGGACACGAAAGCTCCAAGCCGCTCGCTCGTGTGAAATCACTGGAGGGCACGCGCTTTACACAAGCGGCAAAAGGCCACGATGCCACAGGCGTCGGTGTCCCCGTCAACGCCAGACACGCCGGCAAACACGTATTTGTTGACACCAGCGACCGGGTCATGTTCGTTGATTTGCAGCTGCACGGAAAAACGTGCAGAGCAATCGCAGCGTACCTTCCGCATGCCGGCTACCCCGCCATGTTCGTGGGCGCAATCTACGAGCAGTTGTCCGCCTGCTGCCGGACACCACGAATCTGTATCGTCGCAGGCGATTTCCAAACAGAGCTGCATTAACCAGTACGGGGGGCTGCGCTGCTCGATGTTGCGTCGAGGGGGAAGCTGTCATTCTGCAACAGTTCTGGGGGCTGGACGTTTCGAAGCAATATGGGGAGATACCGTCTTATCGACTACATCCTGATCGGCTCGCGTGCCAGATGCATTACGAGTGGCAGCGCAAATCTTCTTGACCTTTGGTCAGACCACCGTGCCGTATCCGCTACCATAAGTTCAAGGTTGCCAGACAATGGACAAGCAGACAGCGAAACTCTCGATATAAATGGTCTGATGTGCCTGGCCAATATATCCAGCGATACACAGAGCCAGTGGACTTGTGGGCCTCACGTCATACTGTTTGCAATTTCGCCAATATAGAACATGCCATCCGCTCTTCAGCAGGGGAACAATTGCACACGCAGACAGCGACGACCCCAAACCCCTTGAATTCAGATGTTGTCCTGCAGGCGAAGAGAGACCGGGATCAGGAGAGGGACCCCTTCAAGAGGAAAGCCTTGCATTGGCGCTGGAAGCGGGTACTTCGGAAAGAGGTTCGTGATTGGAAGACTCGGCAGGCCGCGAATATTTTGTCGGAATTTCAAAGTTTGTTCCGCTTGGACGTTCTATGTCACGTTCCGTTTGAGCGGGAGATTCCTGTCAAGCGGCCAAGCGACGGGGAGCTTGCGCGAGCTCTCGCCGACGTGCACTCGAGGGGGACGCCAGCTGAAAGACCGCTGCCGCGAACTGCTTTCCGCGACGTTCCTCCGTTCAGCACGGCAGAACTCAGGGCGGCCTTGAGAAAGCTGGCGCGCAACAGGGCCGCGGACTCCGAGGGGATTGCGTTGCAGCATATTTTACACTTACCTCTGCGAGCCAAGAAGCTCATTCTTGACCAGTGCAACAAATGTATGCTAGATGGGGCGTTCCCGAAAGAGTGGCTGCATACTACTTTCACAATGCTGCCTAAGCCGGGAGACGCGTCAAACGCTTCAAATTGGCGCCCAATCGCAGTGCAAAGGATATTGTACAAGGTTCTTGCGAAAATGCTTTTGTCGAAGATTTCGCCGAGGCTGGAAGCAGCGCAGGGGAAAGATCAATGCGCGTACCAGCGTGGCTTCGGCGCCGACGAGGCCCTGCACCGCGTGGAGCACACGGCGGGATTTGCCCACGCGTTCAAGCAGACTTTTGGATCGTGAGCCTGGACCTCAGCAAGGCGTTCGATAAAGTCTTCCACGAATCGGTTACTGAAGCAATTTTGCAGCAAGGTGTAGATGAGGCGCACGCTTCCTCATTGCAAGAGCTGTATTCGGGACAGACGGGCCAAGTTGGCACAAGCGACGTCTGTCAGCTCTTCCGGGGCGTTCGCCAGGGCGACGTATTGAGTCCGTGTTTATTCAACGCAATAATTGATGGAGATGGTGTTCAACCGGTGGAAGGGCCGACTCACAACGCAGGGATGGGAATTCCTAGGGAGGCAGGCAGAACGCTTCACGAACATCCGGTTCGCAGACGATGTTTTGCTTTATGCCCGCTCGCCGGAGGACACCAAAATCATGCTCTCGCTTTTAATTGAGGAATTCCAAGACGTAGGGCTGCAACTGAACGCCGCGAAGACCAAGATCTTATCCTCCAGAGACGTCGGTGCGCCACCCGGCACTTGCAACATCGAACGGATTGCAGGCCGCTGTTTTCACGTGCTGTCCCCGGACGAATCTCACGCATATTTGAGAGAGCTCTCAACTGGCCAAAGAACAGGGCAACAGTTGCCGTCAAAAGGAGGATATCAACGGCATGACACCAATTTCAGAGAGAAAAAAAGCGCCAAATTATGATGAGCCAGCATGTCGGCGCCGGTCATCGCATCAAGCTCTTCAACTCCACGGTCTTGCCAGTCCTGTTATACGGGTTGGCCAGCCTGGCGCTGAAGCCGCAGCACCACGCCATGCTCCGGGGAGCGCTGACAAAGATGTTCCGAAATATGGCTGGCTGGAGGAGAGCGGAAGGCGAAAGCTGGCAGGACACGATGCGCAGGATGCAGACGCGCGTGTCGAACAAGCTGTCCACGGCGCCCTCCCCAGACGTGTCGGAAAGGATTTTCTCTTTGAAGTGGCGACTGGCTCGCCGGCTCTTCTGTGGAGGAGTTGAGAAATGGGCGCCTGTTCTTCGACATCTGCAGTTTGCCCACAAACGAGCACGAGGCAGACCACCGCTGCAATGGATGGATGACTTCAAACAGTTCTACACGCAAGTAGGGGCATATTCTCTGGAACAGGCGCTGCAGACGCCGGGCAGGGAGGAGCAGTACATCAAGTTCTGCATGATGAAGTTGTGATGCCCCTCCCTCCTCCTCCCCCCCCCTTTCTCCTCCTCCTTCCCCCGCTTCCCCCCCTTCTGTTGCATGTTTCCGAATTCCCACTTCCACATTCTGCTCACGTTTCATATATGCTGTCTGGCTGGTAGTCGACTTGTACACCCATGCCCTGCACAGGGCCGAGCAGCCGACAGGCATGCTCGCGTGGTTCGCTCGCTCGCTCGCGCGCGGGGCCGCCCCTGGGGGTCCCCAGACGAAAAGTACCCCCGCAAGTCCTGGCCAACCCCTGGCCAACCCCCGGCCAACCCCCGGCAGGCTCCGAAGAGCGCTTCAAGTGGCCTCCAAGGGAGCTCAACATGGTCCGAGACGGCCCAAGAGCGATCCAAGACGCCAAATATTGCCTCCAGCGCCTTCAAGACGCCCCAAGAGGCCTCCGAGGGACCTCCCAAGAGGGCCCACAGAGGCAGAAATTTGTGATTTCCCTTAGGTTTCTGACGGTTTTGGGCGTTCTCGCCTTTTCGGCTTACAGGCGCTCCAAGACGGCCCAAGAGGCTTCCAATACCGCCCCAAGACGGCTTACGAAGCCTCCAAGAGGGCCCAAAGACGGCCCAAGATGGCCCCAAGACAGCCCAAGAGGCCCCAAAGACAGCCCAAGAGAGCCCCAAAGAGGCCCCAAGAGGGGCCCAAGACGGGGACCAGGAACCAACAAGTCCAGCCTCCAGCGGCCCCCAGGAGGCCCCAAGAGACCCCCAAGAGGCCCCAAGGGGCCTCCAAGAGGCACCCCAAGAAGCCCCATGAGGCTCCAAAGAGGCCCCAAGAGGCCCCAACACGGCCCCCCAAAGGCATCAAAACTGGCCCCCAAAGGCCCCTGAGAGCCCAACCAACATTCGTGAGGCGTCTGACCCGCCACCCACCGCCTCCGAAAAATGGCAGCCGCCCAACCGCACCGAATTGGCATCAACACCTCGACAAACGACAGCGGCGAGGCAATATGGGCCGGCGGAATGAGCGAAACGATTCAATGTAAGTGTATATTCCACACTTGTACGCTCAAGACGACGCTAAGTGGTTCCAGAGTGGGACCAGCTGCCAGTTAGCCTTTGGGAACCGCCGTGCTGGCGTCAAGGCTCCTCCACCCTCCTCCTTCTCGCCCCGCCCCTGCCTCCTCCTGGGCGTGTGCTATCTGTCTGGCGCAGGGTTTGAGGGAGGCAGTGATGTGAGTGAGTCCATGTGAGCTGCGGCGGCAGCCCCGTGGTTGCGAGGATTTCTCGAGCGGCGGCCTCGCGGCTGCGAAGATGTCCCGAGCGGCGGCGCCGCGGATATGATGATGCATCGGGCGGCGACGCCGCGGTTGTGAGGATGTCCCAAGCGGCGGCTCCGCGGCTGCGATGATGTTTCGAGCGTCGGCGCCATTCCGCCCCCCTTCCCTGCCTGCTCTTGAGCGTGTGCAGCCTGAAATGTCCACTCCGTGTTGTCCCTATGGACTGTCCTCAGAGAGGACGCGCGTACTATCTGATGTCCTGGTTCAGGGGACTGCAGGTCATGCGGTGCTATCTGTCCTGGATGAGTAAATGTGCCATCGGATAGTCCCCCCGATATATCCACCACCACCTCCATACCTTGTCCACTGCACCTTGGGCTCCACGAGTGGTGCCAGAAAGAAACGGCCTCCCATTCACGCAATAAGCTGAGAGATGCCGACTTCATGGTCTGCCCTGGTGGCCACGTGCCCACGTGCCTCAAGGGCCCACCACTACGGCGCGGTCCACAGCAATTTGCAGAAGAGCCTCCGAGAGCTCGCAATCATGGCCGGTTCCTCCTCCTCCTCCTCCTCCTCAACTAGTCCTTCCCCTTCCTACGTCTCGGGAACCGAGACTGATTGCAGAAAGACATGTCCTCTCATACATACACGCTTCGTCTCGGGTGCTGCTGCGCCAGAACATGCTCCACAGCATCAACGCACTCGGTCCACAACGGGTTGCAGAGGAAGCCACCGAGCGCTCGCAATGAATGCAGTCTACTCCCCCTACACTCATCCATCCCCTGTCCACAACGCCTCGCCGCCCAGGCGACGCTTTTCAAAGCCTTCTGGGCCTCGGTCTGGCCAGATGCCCCCGCTCAGGGGCACAAGTGCCCTTTCCGGTCGCCCCAGGCGTCCCGCATCGCGTCGTTCGCTCCGTCGCTGATGTTATTGCCATTCGAGAACAGGACCTGCAGGCTGGGCACGGAGGGTATCGCCCGCGCCAGGGCCTCGGCACCCGCGTCGCATAGAGCGTTGTTGTGCGGGTACAGCGTCCGCAGGGCGGGCGTGGAGGGCGGCGCCCTCGCCAGGGCCTCGGCGCCCGCGTCGCCCAGAGCGGCGTTGTCCAAACTCACCTGCAGGCTGGGCGCGGAGGGCAGCGCCCCCGCCAGGGCCTCGGCGCCCGCGTCGCCCAGAGCGGTGTTGGTCAGGATCAGCTCTGCAGGGCCGTCATGGAGGGCGGCGCCCCCGCCAGGGCCTCGGCGCCCGCCTCGCCCATGCTGTTGTTTTCCAAGTTCAGCTGCTGCAGGGCGGGCATGGAGGGCAGCGCCCCCGCCAGGACCTCGGTGCCCGCGTCGCCCATCGAGCATAGGAACAGGATCAGCTCCTTCGGGCGGGCGCGCAGCCGCAGGCACTCGGCGAGCCCCGCGGACTGCTCGGGGGTCGGAGGCGGATGCCGGAGAAGAGCAGCTCCGTGACGCCGCCCAGCTGCGCGTGGCTCTGGCGGAGTAGCGCCTTCACCGCCTCCCGGTCCGCGCCACTTGTGAAGGACCTGTTCTCGATGAGCTGGTCAAACTGGTCTGGGCCGACCGGCCGGCCCATCCCAGCCCTCTCTGATCCCGCCCCCTGCCCGAGATCGGCCACTGCGTCCCAATGCGCATCCAGGCGCGAGCCACTCTTGATCTGCTCCGCGGAACAGCGCTCGTACGTAGTCCAGCCCGACTGGTCGTACCCGCACTCGCGCGTGCTGCCTCATTCGCGGGGATGCCGTGTCAGCATGAGGACGGTGGTGGCCTGGTGTCAGCAAGAGGACGGTGGTGGCCTGGTGGGCGTACCACAGGTCCATCGTCTCCTGCAAGGCGTGTTTGAACGCGGCCTTCTCGGCGGGGATCCGCTTCGCCTCTTCTGCGGCCTCCTCCGTGCTCTTCTGGGTCTTGCCCTCTTGCAGGGCGGCGTCATTTGCGATCTTGGCCTTAATCGGGTCGCCCTGCAGCAGCGAGGGCCAGTCCCAAAACACGCCCATCTCGCTGAACCCTTCGAAGCTCCCAATTGCTGTGACGTGCTTTCGGCGCTCGCACTCCAGGGTGTCAATCACTAATTTCAGCTGCGCCTCCTGGGGGTTGGGATGCTCTCTTGAGTCTTAGCAAAACGAAATTGCGATTATTGGCGCCACTTTGTCACGTCCCCCTCGTTCGCCGTCGTCCCAGACGGCCCGCAGCTCGCCCGCGGACACGAACGTCTCCTCCGGCAGCTCCTGGCGCCTCTTCAGGACAGTACCGCACTGCTGAACCAGCCACGACGTGCGGACCAAGCGCATGGGGTGGAAGCCCTGCCCGCCGCGTCTGTGTACCGCGTCAGGTCGACGGCCTCGCGGCCGAAGAACCTCCGCAGGCAGATGGCTGCTCGAGCAGGGCTGGCCCGTCAGCAGCGGCAAGGCGCCGAGTAGTAGCACCAGCAGACCCGCACCGAGGGACCGGTTGGAGCAGCAGCGCCTGGCGCACCCCTCCAGCGGCACGCACAAGAAGCAGCACCAGGTGCAGCAGACCGAGGCGCAGCGCAGGACGACAGGCGGGCCGCGGGTGCGCAGCCGGGACCAGCGGGGGCCCTGGAGCGCAGGGTCGGCACCGCGCCGCCCGCCCGCCTCCTCGTCCCCGGGCTCGCCTCCAGCAGGCTCCGCGGCCTCCCCGGGACCGCGGCCGAGGACCCGCGGGCGCGGGCAGTATGAGTCGCCCGCGTTCTTGGACGACGTCCCCTCGCCACTGGGGCCTCCGCCGGAGGTGTCCTCCGAAGGCCGGTAAAGGTACCGGCGGCCCTCCCTGGCGTTGTCCCGTGCTTGGAGGGCCTCCTGGAGGCTTCTCGTCGCCACGGCTGGACCCGCCGCGAAAAACAGGCCAGGAGGTGATGGACTCCGGGAGGAGTCCGAGGACCAAATTTGAACAGATTTGGGCCAGTAGAGGGCTCCCAAGGGTCCGAATGGGTGGAGTCGGATCATCGCGCCGCATCACCAAAGCATCGGCGATGCATCGGCGATGCGTCGGCGATGTCAGCGATACATCGGCGCCGTCGGCGTGGACAAAAAGCGGGTTTCACATCAAGCCGCATCGTCGATGCATCGGCGATGCGGCGCGATCCTCTGACCCCACCTACTCCACCCCCTCTGAACTACGAACAAAACGTATCTTACGCGAGGCGGCAAAGCGACCTCACGCGTCGGCGAACGTGGGCCGCCAGCGTTGCACAACGCTTGGTGAAGAGGGCGCTTACGCTAAGCCTCACGCGGGGAACTTGCGCGCGAATGTCCTCACAATCGCACCCACGTTCCTGCGTCGCGAATCTTGCGGGAGGCATCGAGCTAGGCGAGAGAGCCGCCGCCGTCTCATCCTCCTCCGGTCCTCGAGGCCCACGGGCCTGCAGCCCACGGGCCCGCCACACGGCCGAACACCGCGTAATCGAGCAGCGAATTGCCACCCAAGCGGGAGTTGCCGTGCACGCCGCCAGCGACCTCGCTGGCAGCGTACAGCCCCGGGACGGCCTTATCGTTAACACCGCGTCCGCTGAGATCGGTTCCAAAAAGGCTTCGGGTTGAGCCGAAGGCTGCGGAGCCAAGCAATCCGCGCGCAGTCCGCAAAAAATGCAGGGACCCAGCGGGGCGCCTATCAATAAGAACGAGTCCTCTCAGTCAGCAGGGATGAGGACGCCTATAGGACGCCAACGAAGGAAGCCATGCGAGAACACACGCCAAGTGGCCCACGTACAACCGAGGCTCTCATCCTCCTCCTCCACCTCCTCCTGTTTCAGATTCCTCTTCCTACTCTTCCTCCTCCTTGTCGTCATCACCATCACAATCATCACCACAATCCTCGTAGTCGCTGTCGTCACCATGCCCATCCCTTTCCATCCCCATCTCACTTCTACCGCTGCTGGTGCTGCTACAGGTCGGGAACTGTCTGATCCTCTCCCTCGACCTTGCGCGTTCGTCTTCTTCCTACGCGTTCGTCCCCCTCATTCTCTAAACCCTCCCCCTCCTTATACTCCGCCACGTCTTCCTGATCAACCTCCCCCCCCCCCCCTTGCCTTCTTCCCTACTCTGTCCCATTCATCACCATGCCCGTCCTCCCTCTCCTTCCTCCTCCACCCTCCTCCTCCTCGTTTTTTCCTCGTCCCTCCATACGAGGATGAGGAGGACGAGAAGGAAAATGGCGAGTCGAAGGAAGGAGGGAGCGAGGATGCGATGTGGGAGGAAGACGAGGAAGAATATCATGAGGAGGGGAAATATGGGATGGGAAGGAGACGGGTGAGGAGGAGGAGGAGGAGGAGGAGGAGGAGGAGAAGCAGGACGAGGAGGCACAGTAGGAAGATGACGCGGATGAAGAGGAGGAGGAGGAGGAGGAGGAGGAGGAAAATAAGAAACAGGAGACGGAGGAGGAGCAAGAGCAAGAGAAGGAGGAGGAGGAGGAGGAGGAGGAGGATCGGCAGGACGAGGAGAAGGAGGAAGTCCAGGGATGAGGAGAAGGAGAAAGAGGAGGAGTAAGATGATGAGGAGGATGAGTAGGACCAATTCAAACCCACGGTGCATCAATCATGTTGCAATCAACCCTCCCCCAAGTTCTCCGTTCATGAGGCCCTACGCGAATTTAATGTCATTGCGGGGAATGCCCCATTGGACGACAACCGTTTGAGAATCCCCAATCGTGCCAAAACACAACTCCTGGGTTGCCAGCGTCGCGAATCAACTTGACCGTGACGTCCTGACAACCCTAGACCGTGCCAAACCACACTTTCTGTGACTTCTGGCCATGATAATCTTTCAAACGGCTGTAAACTTTCAAAACGAAAGTGCGCGGCGTGAAAACGAGAACCACATTTTGAAACAGAGCCGCCTTCATTCTCAACGCTGCTGCGTAACACAAGCACCGATGTGCGCGGTGCTAAAACGAGAACCAAAATTTGAAAACCACCCACCCACCATCCGTGACACGCTCACACACATTTAAAACGAATGCGTGCGGCACTAGAACGAGAACCGCATTTTGAAAACCAACCGCCCTCAACCTGTGAAGACCTTACGAATGTTTAATACGAGTGCGCGCGGAGCTCGGTCGAGAACCACACGTTGAAAACCAACCGCCCTCAATCTGTGGAACAGCCGCACAATTTGAAAACGAATGTGCGCGGAACTAACGCGAGAACCACATTGTGGAAACCGCACGCCCTCAATCCGTGAAGAACAACTGTTCAATACGAGTGGGCGCTGCGCTCAAGCGAGAGCCGCATTTTGAAAACCACCCGCCCTCAATCCGCACAGACATGGCACACTTTAAGACGATTGTGCGCGGCGCTCAGGCGAGAGCTACATTTTGTAAACCTCCTGCCCTCAACCCGCGAAGAACTTGCAAATATTAAAGTCGATTGTGCGCAAAGAAAATGCGATAACCAAATTAATTAAAAACACCCGCCCTCAAGCCGTGAAGCCCTTGCAATAGTCAAAAACAAATGCGCGCGGCGCCAAGGTCATAACCAAATTATGAACACCACCCGTCCTCAATCCGTGAAACCCTTGCAACTGTGAAAACGAATGTGCGCGGTGCTGAAGCGAGAGCCACAGATTGGAAACCATCCGCATGTCGCCAATGCTAAAGAGGTCTCACGCGAAACGCCCGGCCCGCCCTCCCGACTGGCCTCGGGGTGCGCCAGGGAGGAGTTATTTGCAAGGAGAAGGGATGAGGGAGGAGGAGGAGGAGGAGGAGTCGAGCGTAAGAAAGGTCAATGTCAGTTGCAATATACTCAGATCCACCACCCCTCAGAGGAGTAGGAAGCGACACGGCGGCGGGCGAGGAGGAGGAGGAGGAGGAGGGAGCCAGGGAGGGAGGGAGGGCGGGAGGGAGTCAAGGGGTGGGTTTAAGACGCCGCTCAGCCCGCTGCGGCCAACGAGCTTCCCAAGAGCCTGTTCCCAGCGGGCTTTGCCGCAGGGGGGTCTGAAGACGCCGCCCTCCCCGCCGCAGCTGGAAAGGTCACACGGGAGAGCTCTCTCCCAGCGGGCACTGCCTGAGGGGTTCTGCCCTACTTCTGCAAACGGGTGCTGGTGGCAAGTCTTCCGCGAGGCCAGATTCCCTGGGAATGCCCCCACCGCTCCTTGAGGATGCCCCTCGGCCGTTCCTCGCGGACCTGCGGTTTGCAGTTGGCCCATGGGACGGCCTGTTGCCCGCCTCTGGCGTGTCTCCTGGCCTGCTGGAACATGATGTTGGTCTGTCGTCAGATGTCTTTCAACTTGTCTCGTAACTTGCCTTCAAGTTGATTCCGCTTGCCGTGTACGTGCCACGCGCCTGCATTCGATGTGTGGACCTCGCCGTGCCTTTTGCTCGCATTGCCTTTCGACCGCCGTCTGCTTGTCCGATGGTTTGCCTTCAGATCAGATCCGCCGGAGGAGCCCCCGTGGGGCCTCCAGGCTTTGAGCAGTCAGGATGCAGCTGCATCACTGCTAGTGTGATGTAGGGTATTAATAGGGAGCCCACAAAGGACGTACGCGCCCAGCTATGTACATGAACACGGTCCCTTGAAACGCGAGACCAGCCGCGTGACACGAACATTCGCGCAATGCGAACTCTCGAAACCAGCGTGGATTCATGTACATGTACGTCCTTCTTCCGCTCCTGAATTAAATATACGAGTTGTACCCTGCACTCCTCTGGAAGTCTCCCCCCAGCCCCAAAACGCTGTCGGCGTGTGTGAGGGGCTGTTTTGCCCGTCGTCAAAGTCGTCGTCGTCGTCGTCGTCGTCGTCGTCGTCGTTGCAGTGCTCTAGCGGGCTTGAAGGAAATCGACCCATGTCGTAACCACGTCAAAAGGAACCCCCTTCCCGTTGTCCCTTCCCCGGCAGGGGGCCGGGGGGGGGTGCCGGAGGGGTCCCGGGGAGGTCCCAGGGGGGTCCCAGGGGGGGGCCCGGGGGGGGTCGCCACCCAGATACGCTTTCACTCCCCGCGCGCTCCCGGCGCGTCCGGCGCGGTCCCCGCGCGGTTCCGGAACCCCGCGCGGCTTCGGAAGCTCACATATTATGCCACGAGCCTTTCAAAATACCCCTAGCCGTCCAAGACTCTCCCACATGATGCCAGACACAAGCCCTCGACGACGGGAATCCTCCGAGCCGTCCACGGATGCCCCAAGGAAACCCAAGAAAACGGCCCGAAACCTAAGGAAATCCAATGTTTTTGGCTTTCTCGCCTTTTCGCTTCCGAAGGGCTGCGAGGGCTGCGAAAGGCGGCGAGCCGGGGCTCCGCCGCTGCCCACCGACGGGCAGTCACGTCGCTCGGGAAGCCCAGACCTCCGGTGGTTCAGTTCTTCACCACGGGTCCGGTTCCGAGACTCCCCCCAAAATGGCCCCCGGAGGCCGACAATGACGAAAGACTAAACATGTACAACAAGCCCCCCTCCTCCTCCTCCTCCTCCTCCTGCTGCTCTCCTCCTCCTCCTCCTCCTCCTCCTCCTCCTCTCCTCCTCCTCCTCTCCTCTTCCTCCTCCTCCTCCTCCTCCTCCGCTCACTCTGCGGACTCCGATCGAGGATCGAGGCTTTCTGGCGCCGCCGGAGCCCTCTCTTCGGCCACCCTCCTGCTCCTCCTCCTCCTCCTCCTCCTCCTCCTCCTCCTCCTCCTCCTCCTCCTCCTCCTCCTCCTCTCCTCCTCCTCCTCCTCCTCCTCCTCCTCTCCTCCTCCTCCTCCTCCTCCTCCTCCTCCTCCTCGTCCTCCTCTTCCTCCAACCCCTCCTTCTCCCGCCACCCTCCCTTTCCTACTCCTCCCCCTCTCCTCCTCCTCCTACTCCTCCTCCACCTTCTCCCTCTCTCCTCCTACCCCTCCTCCTCCCCCCCTTCTGCTCCAACCTCAATCTCCACGCTCCTCCTCCCTCCTCCTCCTCCTCCTCCTCCTCCTCCTCCTCCTCCTCCTCCTCCTCCTCCCCTCCTCCTCCTCCTCCTCCTCCTCCTCCTCCTCCTCCTCCTCTCCTCCTCCTCCTCCTCCTCCTCCTCCTCCTCCTCCTTCCTCCTCCTCCTCCTCCTCCTCCTCCTCCTCCTCCTCCTCCTCCTCCTCCTCCTCCTCCTCCCTCCTCCTCCTCCTCCTCCTCCTCCTCCTCCTCCTCCTCCTCCTCCTCCTCCTCTCCTCCTCCTCCTCCTCCTCCTCCTCCTCCTCCTCCTCCTCCTCCTCCTCCTCCTCCTCCTCCTCCTCCTCCTCCTCCTCCTCCTCCGCCTCCTCCCTCCTCCTTCCTCCTCCTCCTCCTCCTCCTCCTCCTCCTCCTCCTCCTCCTCCTCCTCCTCCTCTCCTCCTCCTCCTCCTCCTCCTCCTCCTCCTCCCTCCTCCTCTCCTCCTCCTCCTCCTCCTCCTCCTCCTCCTCCTCCTCCTCCTCCTCCTCCTCCTTCCCTCCTCCTCGCCTCCTCCTCATCATCTTCCACGGCCTCCGTCTCCGCCCACTTCGTCGCCGACGTCGTAGTCCTCTTCAGGGTCGGCGGCACCGGCCGTCAGGCCTTCGCAATATACTAGTTGTACCCTGCACTCCTCTGGAAGTCTCCCCCCAGCCTCAAAACGCCCCCTCTCGCCTTACCCCAGAGGGGGGGTTCGGGGCCGTACCCCAAAAGGGGGTCTTCGGACTCTTGCCACCCACGACACGATTCCGTGTAAATTGTGCAAGGTCCGCGCTCTCAGGGCCCCGACCCATCGATCAATTATTCGAAGTCCGCGCTCCCGAGGCTGCGATCTCGTGTAAAATACAAGTCAATGTAACAGGGGATATGTCGACCCCTGCCCCCGACTCCGTTAGATCTTCGAACGGACCACATGTGGGGCCCAACTCGGGGACATACGACAGGGGGCGCCTGTCCTCGATAGGGGTGCGTCCGAATAGCCTCGTGGCGATGTATCCCAGAGTTTTCCCTCTCTGAGCAGCTTGATCAGAAGTGGAGAAGTCGGAGCCTTGGGGCGAGAATTCAACTGCGACCGAAGCCTGTGTAAATTACGCCGGGCCCATGCTCCCAGACTCACAATCCTTTACTTTGGGTCGGCGCTCCCAGGGCCACGATCCTGTATACGTTATGCTGGATGCGCGCTTCCACTGCCCCGATCCCAAGTAATCTGCAACGAATCACCTCTCTCAGGGCTTGTAGACCCTTTGCGAATTACGCTGGGTCCACACTCACAGGGTCACGACCCTTGGAAAAACATCAATCCCTAGTAATTCCACCTGGTGCCTCGATGCCTCAAGCAGAACCCAGATTTCTACAGGAACTACATGTGTGTGCTCGCGCGTGCCCAGCCTGACTTCCACACGGTCAACCATCACCTCGACCAGATCGAGGCTGGCGGCGCGCGAGTGGCTCGTTGCCAGAGGGAGCGATTGGGATGACAGGATCGTGACGGCAGCGGGCAGCGGCTGCAACCATTTCCAGCCCCCGTGCCTTGCCGAGAAGGCGCAGCAATGACAAGTCGGACTGTTGAGCAGCAGCCTGCGATGGCGAGTTACCATGAACGGACAGTCACCCGGACCTCGCCAGTTCTGCATTAGGCAGCTGGGGCGGCCGCGGATGCCGCGCCACACACGCACACACACACACACACGCACTGAAAGCTTGGACGCGACCGCAGGAGGAGTGCCAAGGCGAAGAGAAAGGGCTTGTCGAGCGTGGCCTCGGCAGGCAGTGGGGGGAGGGATGAGGGGAAGGATGAGGGAGGAGGGAGGAGGTGGGAGGGAGTAGTAGTAGTAGTAGTAGTAGTAGTAGTAGTAGTAGTAGTAGTAGTAGTAGTAGTAGTAGTAGTAGTAGTAGTAGTAGTAGTAGTAGTAGTAGTAGTAGTAGTAGTAGTAGTAGTAGTAGTAGTAGTAGTAGTAGTAGTAGTAGTAGTAGTAGTAGTAGTAGTAGTAGTAGTAGTAGTAGTAGTAGTAGTAGTAGTAGTAGTAGTAGGAGGAGGAGGAGGAGGAGAAGGAGGAGGAGGAGGTGAAGGAGAGGGAGGATGATGATGATGATAATGATGATGATGATGATGATGATGATGATGATGATGATGATGATGATGATGATGATGATGATGATGATGATGATGAGGAAGGAGGAGCGGGGAGGAGGGAGGAGGGAGGGAGGGGGATGACGTGTGTCCCCGACCCCTAGCGGGCAACTAAGGAACAGCCTGGCAGTGTGCGCTCCTGGGGCCTCGACCCCCTTGGGCACGACACAGGGTCCCCGCTCCTACGGCCCGCTTTCGGAAGCCTCAATAGGCCTGGTGCCCGTTGGCGCGGCTGGGCTGGCAGGACCCAGGACGGCAGCGAAACTCGCCAAGCGGGGGGAGGGGCGGGTGCGCGGCTCTCTCTCTCTCTCTCTCTCTCGTTGACGCGCAAGCGCCGGCTCCAGGGGTTGCGGGCACAGCGCTCGTCTCCGACGACTCGGGGCGGCACTGCAGCCCGCCGGCGAGGCCCGCGCCGCGGCGCCGCCTGCCCGCTGGCTGCACCATGCGGGCCGACGGACCTGCTCCATCAAGCCCAGTGCACGCGCAAGCGCCACCATCTGATTCCTGGCCGCTGTCTGTGCACTCCTCCAGAGCGCTTCAGACACAGAAAACCTGACTCTCCGCTGCAGAGAGCGCGGCGATGACCTGGGCGTGCCCGCGCCGTCTCGCAATCTCCAGCGCAGTGCAGCCAGCGGACTCACACTCCTCTGGCACCCTCGCTGCCGCATCTGCATTCGCGTCCAGAAGCAGGTCCACTGCGAACTCATGGCCGTAAAATGCAGCAAAGTGCAACGGCGTCATGCCGCGGATCGCCGCCACCACGCACGTGTTCGAGAATGGAATGCTGAAGTCAGCGCCGCTCGCCAACAAGATTTTCATGGACTGTTTGGCGGGCGACACTGTGGCTGCCATCAGCGGGGTGCAGCCCAGCTTGTTGCGGTCGTTGATATCCGCTCCTGCCTCGAGCAATTCCTTCACTGCGAGGCTTGAATCCGAGGTGCCCGCCAATATGAGTGGCGAATTCCCGTCTCCATCACGGCAGTAAAGGTCCGCACCGCTCTTGAGCAGCTCGGCGATGGCCCGCGTGTTGTTCGCGTAAACCGCGTAATGCAGTGGGTACATGTTGCCCTCAAGCTTCTCGAATTTGTTGTCGATCCGCAATGCCGCCAGGAAATGATCCGCCGGCTGGTGCGTCGGCTCTTCGCACATGCGAGCCCAGCGGGTGGTGAGCAGACGTCGCCAACCTGGCAAGTCTCCATGGTCAAGGAGTCCAGATGCGACTTTCTCCTCGACGGTCTCCAGCAGCTCCAGCATCATTATTTTGTCGCACACGATACCCTTGCCGTGACTGTCAACATGGTTACGCTGGCAGCAGGTGAATCCTCCGCGCAAGACCGACGAGTTGGGGTCACGCAGCCGGTGGCTCGTGGGGACATTCGCCATCTTGCTGGGTGGAACGCCGGCCTCTTCGCAGAGGTAGACGCGCGGGGCGGCACTACCCACGACGTCGGATAATCCGAAAATCCACTGGCCTGTATGGGGCATCCTGGCTGTGAACTATCGCGTGGCTTTGTCTGACATTGTGCTGCAGCAGCGTGTGCGTGTGCGTGTGTGTGTGTGTGCACACTGACTCTGTCCTGCCCCCCCCCCCCGCCACTGCAAGTCTCCCCAATGGACTCTCAGCAACAAGAGAAACGGCCCCAGCTCGGGGGGATCCCGAGATATCGGGCGCCCCACGGGACCTCGTGAACTATGATGGATCCTCGCTCCCAGTCCCAAGTACCATGAGCCCTCGTAAAGCAGATCTCGGGCACGGCGGGAAGCGCTGCTGCTGTCTGCTTGCTGTAGTCTGCTGCAGCTTCTTGCTGCAGCTCGATGTTGCTGGCCTGTGCTTGCTGCCAGGTATCGCTGGCTGCAACTGCTTGCCACTTAGTGCCGCTGTCTGGGCATTTCTTCGCGCCGATTGGGGCCGCTGATGCACTTCTTCCAGCCTCGTGGGGCCTGTCGGGCAGGTCTGGAGCCTTCTGGACCCCTCTACGGCCGACGCGGGACTCTCTGGCGGCTCTGTCTGTCAGTGCCCTCTTTGGGACCTCTTGGGCCTCCTCAGCAACTCTGCGAACTTCGCTTGCAGCCTCGGGGGCGCCTCTTCCAGTCGATCATTCAGGTTGAGGGGTAACAGCATCATAACGATGACTGCAGCATGCACGTACGATAACAAACCCTGCTATGAGAACTCTAGGTGTACATCATGCGTCGACTATGAGCTTCGTAAGGTGGCCCAGGGCTCTGCGGGACTATCGGGAGATAAAAAGCACTCGTGGAGATACCCGTTGGCAGGCCAGCGTCTTATCTGGTGTGCCTGCAGTAGCTGTGCCCGCACAGGGCGAGGACGCTGTAGATGTGAAAGCCAACGAGATATGGAAGCGCTGCTACTTGTGTCGCATGCTGGTATTGCTGCTTGTTGGGTGTCGCTTGCAGGTAATTGTGGCTGCTTGGTTGTCAATAGCTCTGCTTGCTGCGGTGTGCTGATGCTCCCTCGCGATTGGGCCTTGCATTGCGCCTCTTAGGGCTTACATTGGAGCCTTTTAGGGCTAGCCTCTTGCGGCCTGTTGAAAGATCTCGGGGCTTGCTCAACCGCTGTGGCGCCCTCGTAGGCTGCCACAGGATTCTCTTGGGGCTCTCTTGGGCCTTCTTAGGAACACTCCCGTGGTTTCTCAGGAACCTTTTGGGCTCTCCGACTCTCTTCCACAGTCTGGGGACGTCCTTCAATACACTGGGGACATTGGCCAAAGGTTTTGCCACGTGGGACTTCCTCAACAAAAGCAAGGGGCGGCGGGGGCGGCGGTGACTCGCCGGAGGCGTCTTCGATAACCTCTTCAGCCCTGCACCAGCCTCGGGCCCGGTAAGTCGTTACCCCAAGGGGTTCGCCAGTATCAGCGTGGTCCACAGGTGGGGCAAGCACCAACATTATTACTGCACTCGACGCATAAGCGGGGATGCTTCGAATCGCAGCGTCCTTGCATGTCTTCGAATTCTGCGGGATGCTCCAATAATCGAGCCACACGAAAACCCTGCCCAAGTCAACGTCAAAAGATTGGGCAGTGCGGGCAGGTGCCATAGACAACTCTTTTGTGCGCTCATCTTCCTCGTGGTGATTGAGGCCTGTTGCCTGGCCAACCAATTTCGTCAAAACGCTGGCTGCCATCAAAGAAGTCAGAACGCGGAACTGCACTCCAGTGTGGTCCAGATGCGCGTAAGACGTCCACTGGTGCGATGTGAAAATCAACATGCCCATCGAATCGCTCCACTGTGCAATCTGCCCTGCACCCATCATCTCTTCGTGGGCACGCATGCTGTTCAAAGACACAACTCGTGATGCCAGCAGCGCGAAGGTCGGATAATAGGTGGTTCCTCCCACATTGCTGAAGCTCCTATCCGCCACCGTGCCTCGAGGCATGAATTGGACTGCTCATAGGTCCTGTGGGTCTTCTGTCCTGGATAATAAGTCTTCAGGGGCCAAGACCCCAAAATACCAGCTGTCCCAAGGAGTCTCGTAGGATGTCCCCAAGACAAGCCCACGAAACCCCACGACGGCAACAAGCGGGGCCCAAGAGGGGGACAATGAGCTGACGTTTCGAGCCCTCCACCGCAAGATTGCACAGAAATCTCTCCAAAGGCCCCCAAAGCCCCGAAATGCCCCCAAGAGACCTCCAAGGGCCCCTGGGAAGCCGTAAAGAAGCCCCGTGAGGCCCCCCGAGGCCTCCAGGAGCCCCCTAAGATCCCCCCGAGAGATAGACCAACTTATTTTTTGGCATCCCAACCGAAGACCTCGGACCCACAACCGAGACACGGTGTCGTGATGGGCCGAAGGCCACTCGATCCGCCGCCCCCTGTTGGCTTGCCACAGGGGTGCCTGGCATGCCGGATCCTTTCGGTTTTGGTGGGCTCCGGCCCAGCCCACAGGCCACCCGGAAGGACCCAAAAGACCCAGTTGCCAATATGCTTCCTGCTCCAGACAGCTCCAAGATGGCTAAAATTGGCCTCCAAGATGCCTCCAAGATGGCCTCCAAGACGGCCCAAGATGGTCCAAGATACTTCGAAATCCGCCCAAGAAGCCCTCAAGAAAACCCAAGACTGCCCAAGAGGTGCCCAGGAGGCCTCCAAGACGGCCCACGAGGCCTCCGAGAGGTCCTCCAGGAGGGCCCGAACAGACTAAAATCAATGATTTGCCTACGGATTTTGAAAGATTTTCGTATTTGCTCTTTTTCGGCCTTCCGACGGCCTTCCGGCGGCCCAAGAGGCCCCCAAGATCGCCCCCAGAGCGCCCAAGAGACCTCCAAGATGGCCTCAGGACTGCCCAGGAGGGCCCCAAGAGGGCCCCAGGAAGGCCCAAGAGGTATCCAAGACGCCCAAGATGGCCTCAAAGACGGCCCTGGAGCATCCCAAGAGTGCCCCAAGTGGGCCCAGAGGCCCCGAAGACGACCTCCGACGGCGTCAGACGGGCCAGAAGCCCACCAAGACGGCAGAGGATGGCCCACAGATGGCCCAAGACGGCCCAAGAGGCCAACCAGAGGGCCTCCAGGAGGGCCCGAAGACGCCAGAATCATTGGTGTGCCTTAAGCTTTGTAAGATTTTCGCATTTGCTTCTTTTCAGCCTACCGACGGCCCCACCAGAACGGCCCAGGAGGCCCCCAAGACCGCCCCAAGAGGGCCCAGGACGGCCCAAGAGGCCTTCAAGACGCCCAAGATGGCCTCCAAGACGGCCCTGCAACGCCCCAAGAGGGCCCGAAGTTGGCCCAGAAAGGCCGCCAAGACGGCTTCCGACGGCGTCAGACGGGCCAGGAACCCACCAAGACGGCCAAAGAGGCCCCCGAGGAACCCCCAAAGGCCCCCGAGAGACCCGAGGAGACCCCCAAGATGCCTCCGAGAGGCTCCCAGGAAGCTCCCAGGAGACCCCAAGAGTGTCCCCATAGGCTCCCAAGATGCCCCCCCTTCCTCCTCCTCCTCCTCCTCCTCCTCCTCCTCCTCCACCTCCTCCTCCTCCTCCTCCTCCTCCTCCTCCTCCTGATTTTCCCCGCCATCCTCCCCCAAGTGAGGTTCCCCGAAGGGTTTCCACAACGGTTGGGAGAACACATGGTCCGATAGCTTGGCGGAGCTCTTGCCACAACGCTCGGCCACATGGGCGATTTTAGAAGGCAGGTGGCGGCGGTGATTCGCCGTAGGCGTCTTCGATCCGCCGCCCCCTGTTGGTTTGTCACATGGGTGCCCGGCGTGCTAGATGTTAGGTTGGTTAGAAACCTTGCTTAAAGGTTCCACGGGGCCGTTGGCCTAACCCGCCGGTCACCCAGAAGGGCGCGTAAAAGGTCTCTCCCGTCGCTTGCCGCCCCTGTAAGGGCAAATGCACTTCTCAGGTTGCCGCTCGTTCCGCTCCAGACGGCCCCAGGATGGCCTTCAAGACAGCCAAGTTTATCACTGAGACGGCTACGATAGCCCCAAGAGAGCCCAATATGCCCGCAAGATGTCTACAAGAGGGGCGGAGATGCCTCCAAGGTGGCCCAAGATCGCGTCAAGATCACCTACGACGGCCCAAGAGGCCTCCAAGAAGACCTCCAAGAAGACCCGAAAATACCGAAATCATGGATGCTCCGTTTTCAAATCGGGTTCTGGCTTTTGCTCGTTGTCTGCTTCCCGACGGCCTAAGGCGGCCCCAGAAGCCACCAACATGTCCCCACGAGTGCCCACGAGGCCTCCGAGATGGCCCCCTGACGGCCCAAGAGGCTCCAAAGACGGCCCCAAGACGGCTCAGGAGAGCTCCAAGACGCCCAAGATGGCCTCCAAGACGGCCCTGCAACGCCCCAAGTCGGCCCAGAAAGGCCGCCAAGACGGTTTTCGGCGGCCTTCGACGGTTCAGGAACGCGCTCAGACGGCCAAAGATCCTCCCAAGGAGCCTCAACACACCCCCAAGAGGCCCAAGAACGCCCCCGCGATACCTCCAAGAGGCCCACCAGAAGCTCCTTGGATGCCCAAAGTGCCCCAACAGTCTCCTAAGGGACCTCCTCCTCCCTCTCCTGATCCTCCCCCTCATCCTCCTCCAAGTGTTCCTCCTGAGCGACTGGGGAACACATAGTCCGATAACGTGGCCACGGTATCGCAAACAGTTTGGTCACATATACTCGTCCCCAAAAAGACAAGGGGCGGCGGTGATTCGCCGTAGGCGTCTTCGATAAGAACTCCGAGAATCAAGCACCAGCGGTTGTTCGTGTCTTCTCCTCAGAGTGGTTCGGAGAAAGTTGCCCATGCAGAGTTCTACAATGTGATGCAACAGTAAGTGTATCAACACCGCTTCGGGCCCAATTGCTCTTGTTAGAGGACGCGAAGGAGCTGCCGAACCATGTATATTTATATAGTATACAAATACTATAAACATGTATGGTCTGACTCATAGATATCGACAGAAGGTGTCGATAGAGAGGGCTAAGTATACGACTAACCGAAATGTGGAGCGCGCGAGAGAGAGAGATAGGACACACACACGTACACATACATAAGAGCAGACAGCGTGTGCATACGTACAACATCAGTGTGCATATGTATATATATATATATATACATACACGGCCATGCATGTCATATGGGTAGAGAACCTTTACCCAAGGTCGTACCCATACCATGTGCAGCGCGTGGCGTCGTCAACTGGCCCATCCTAGAATACTGTGCCTTTATAGGGCACACAATCCCTTGTGAAGACTGCGTTGATTGGTTGGGCGTACGCTTTGTGCGCCACGTGGCCGATCTGAGGTAGCACGCGGAAGCAGGATGAGGAGAGAGGCAAGACAGAAGGACGACGCCGCACTCCACTGACCAGCGAGAGGACGAAACAGCCCCGTGACCGAAGCAACAATCATCCCCCCCCCCCTCGCCCCCGGCGGGCAGCTCCTGCAACTGGCAGAACAGGCCCAGGATCGCGTCCGTGAGGCCACCGCACGCGTGCAGGCCCAGCACCACGTCGACCTCGGACAGCTCGTCCTCCGCGGTTCAGGCGCCGCTGCTGCCGAGGCTGTTGGCCGCACTCCTCCGCCCTCCGCATCCTTGCCAGCTGCTCCTCCCCCGCCTCCTGCGACTGCTTTCCCTTGCCCTTCTTTCCCGCGCCCCCCTCTCCCCTGGACGCCCCCTTTTCACATGTACGTATCAAGCTCTCCCTCGCTCTCTCTCTCTCTCTCTGTTTTTTTGTGTTCTCTCTCTCTCTCTCTCCCTCTCTGTCTCTCGGTGTAAATGTGTATATCTGCATATCTATATATATATATATATATATATATATGTACTAGAAGCATCGCGCGCTTCGCGCGCGCTCAAATTCTAACTGCTGTCATGATCAACATCATCACTGTCATCCTCATGCCCGTCATCTTCATGGTCATCGCCATGGTCACCGTCACCATCACCATCACACCAATCATAAGCATCACCATCAGCATCAGCATCGTGATCACCATCGCCATCAGCATCATCAGTAGCATTATCATCATCATCATAATCATCATCACCGCCATCAGCATCATCACCAAACACTTCAACATCATCATGCGCATCATCAACATCTGGTTGGTCGTCGTCGGCGTCGTCGGCGGCACAGTCATCGTCACCATCATCAGCGTCTATCGCCGTCATCATCCCTGGTCCACGGCAGTCCCCTTACCCCCCTCCTCTTCCCGTTCTCCATCTTCCCATCATCTTATACGTATCCTTTTCCTCGTCGGCGTCTCCCTGAAAAGGAATCCCTGTTCCTTCACCTCCTCCTCCTCCTCGTCTTCCTCCTCCTTTTCCTCATAATCCTTGTCTTCCCTGCTCTTCGGTGTGCCCTCTTCATCCTTCGCTCCCCTTCCCTCCTCGTCCTCAGCATCCCTCCCCGAACCAGAGAATCAGATAACCATATAATATTACAAGGACAGTGCCCCTCCTCCTCTTCCCCCTCCTCTTCCCCCTCTTCGTCCTCCTGATATTGTTCCTCCTCCTCCTCCTTTCATGACCCTTTTTCGGTAAAGGCTCCACGGCGCGCGACAGCGCCGAAGCCCATCAGTCGAGCGCCTCCTTGTGGGCGCTGAACGTCTTCTCCGTGTCTTCTTTGCGAAGAGCGCCCTTCCCTTCGGCTCGCAAGCTGAGGGGCGCTCAACCTTCTCTGGTCTTTGTCTTCTCTTGGCGTCGCGATCTTCTGCCAACCAGGTTGGTCGGTAGCTCTGTGTCGCCTGTCACGCGAGGCGGCGGCACCTCTGGGGCGCCTGTCCTGGAACACGGCGCTCCATCTTGTATTCTGCTGCTGGCGGGCTTGGCCTCGGCGCTGAAGGAGTCGCTGTC